CTGCCAGGGGTCCATTGTGTGTTGAGAGACTTTGAGGGGACTCTTTTTCCATCAACGTCACTACTTCCAATCGGCGGGTTGGAAGACCCCTGATAGCAGGTTCGGGTTCAAGTAGCTTTGCCTCAAACTTGGAACGGAGCCACCTATCCTTGCCAATGTATACAGCAAGCTTGTTTTTTCAATGCTTTTTCGATGCTGATTGGGTTCTTCTGTGTGTGTTGGCTTTTCAAGTCTATCAGGTGCCAGCACGACTCATGACTAGAATTGGAGAATTGGTCAAATTAAGTGGCCGAACATGTTTGGGCTGGGTCCGTAATGTCCCTCCCTGTGGCCTAAGACAACTCCTTTGAAACTGGAGGTGTCCAAGTTCTTGGTTTTTTTGTGTATGGGAGGTGGGTGCAACACTCCCCACACCCACACTGCAACCCCTGCCCCCAATCCCCAAGTGAATCAGGGCGAATCTTGTCCAGATTTATTCCATGTGTCGATGATTTTCCAGTTTGATCCATTTCATCCCAAGATCTCCCAAGCTTTGCCAGCCCCTCAACTTCGAAGTTTCCACCGCGCTTGGCGAAACCCGCTCGCGCGCAAAGGCGCTTTCCCTCTCTCCAGGTATTTCGTGTTGTCCATGCAGCTGGGCAAATGGCCAGCCGATCCGCAGCTTCTGGCACGTCTCACTGAGGCCAAGCCGGAACTCCGCTGGGCCTTGCGCCTGGCGCGGCGGGCCACAACGCGCTAGGACGCGAGGCTCAAGTCACCGCTCTTGTTGGCAAGCGAATGTGGCGACTGGCCGCTGCTTGTCGGGTGATTTGGAGTGCTTCAGGAGCGACGCAGGCGATAGATGTCACATGTACAGGTCTTGATCTTCCTTGTGCGAACAGGTTGTGACAGCTATAGAATTTGCTGACCACTTTTCTTTGCCGTCAGGCCAGCCAGTCCAAAGTTGACTAAGACATACTAGGACTTGTTTCTTGAATCAGCTTGAGCTCTTCACCCAAATTTGGCTGAGGGTCAGGCAGATGGGTTTCCACCCCAAAGAGCCTCACAGAAAGACTTTGTGAGAATGGGTGGCCAGGTTTATGCCCGGCCCGATCTAGGTGCTAATGAACGCGTGTCGGCAGGGCAGAGGTTTTGTTTGCCTTGACGAGTGGCGCGCGTGAAAACCAGCAGACTGAGGGCCACTGCTTGCCAGTCATATGTTGGTGAAATATTGGTGAAGTATGTTGAAACAAAGTTCCCACCAATACAGATGGAAGGCAACTTCAGTAGTTCAGCTAGTTTTGAGTGCAATTGCGCTAAATGGCACTTATCAGTTTGGTTGCGTCAACTAGATGCGACCAATCAATGTCAGAGATATGTCGCTCAAGCAGGCCAGCTTCCTTTCTGGATCATGTGCACTGCGGAAAGTACATGTCACTTTTGCAATTGGAGATTGCAGCACTTGTCTTCGGAAGACATCTATAGTATCTATATATATGTATCTTTAGTATCTACGAATAGCTTTTTGAGTATGTGTGCACAGTACCAAATTCGGATCCATCATTTAATCAAGTGTGAATTCTTGATTCTTGATTTTTTCTCTCCAGGTTGGGAGAGCTGAGCGCGGGATTGAGGGATGAGTTTGAAGGATGTTTGGTCGACTTGGAGAAGGTGCGAGGGAGCGACGCGAGATGTTTGGTGAGAGGGGTGAAAAGCTGACAGAGTTGATGATTCCATTTTTGGATGTCTGGGGTGAAGACATCTCAAAGATATTTTCACAGATACATCAGTCAAAGATGGAATGGGATGTTCCTGTTGTTTAGATGTTTCTTTGAGATCTTCCTGCTGTTTCACAAACATCGATGCATACCGGAGCAGTGTGTTCTACATACACACGCTGCGTTTCAAGGTGCCCGAGACGCCAGAGACTTCAGAGGCGGCCAGATGGTCTGAGGCGGCATCCACAGAAGTTGGTTTAATGTTTGTTAAAGGTTAATTGATTTAGACTTTAGACTCGTAGACATGCTCATGAAGATAGCAGTGAAGATAGTACAGTATTATATTAGATCATCATGATAATCACTGGGATTGATCATTTCCGCATTTTAGGAGGCAAAGGAAGGCTTGGCTGCTTGGTGCTTCCGGATTGAGTGGTTCAATTCCACAGCGTTGCCAGAGAGGCTTTTACTGGAATACGCCGCTGCAATGAGCAGCTTGCAGCTTGGACGAGCTGGTTTAACCTTGACATCTTCAGATATTACAGTACAAGTCACAGTACATATTGGATCAAAAAAGTCAGTCGTCTTCGATTCCCAAACCATTTGAACAACAACAATTTCCCAGCTGATTTGTTAATCTAAATGGTCAACGTGTGGCACTCCGACTCTGGCACCACACTGAGGCAGTTCTACGAACCGTTTCTATCCACACTGAGTTCGTGCCCATGTTTGTTTAAGATAATGTACCAGCCCATATATCATACAGAGTAAGTGTATCTCCCATTTCATGAGAGCCACTTTTGCCAAGGAATTGAAGATTACCGAGATCCGGGAGAGGATCACTGAGAAGGAGAGGGATCTTCCAGATCTTTCCAGCCTGAAAAACATGTTTTGCAAAGTCTCCATGCGATCTTCTGATCCTCATGAGCCATCACAGTCCATGTGATAGAGACAATGGAGACCCATGACCATGTGATGTCTCCTGGAGAATGGCGTGAAAACACGGTCATGTCCACCGCGGATCTGGCCCGAGTGAAAACGAACCGATCTGTACCGAGCGGGACCTATCCCACCGGGCAGATGCGAAACATGGAGGGAGCGACCTATCCCACCTTTCAGGACGTGGAGCGGGGTGGAGCTGGGGATGTGTGACATGACTTGAAAATGATAGATCAATGATAGATCAATATCAAGATATATAGGAAATAAATTTCTTAATGTGTTGGACAGACCTGGTTTTTTCTTTTTGTTAAAGCTGTTTTTGTCGCGTGATTGTGTTTCACAGCCCCTTGCGCACGCTTGGGGGAGCGATGGTCGCAAGCAACCTTACTGGATCTTCTCTGGCGCCACCCGAACACTGCCTCTCTTTCTAAAAACTTTCCGCCGAGGACGCTACTAGGGGCTCCTGGCCTTACTACTAGGAACAAGGACGC